TGCATCAGTGGCTATGAGCCACAAGGTGTAGATAGGAACACTCAGGCTGGCGCAAGTGATGCACTGTATTCTTGGTGCTTGGGGGGGAGGCAACAGTGGGAGGGCTTCTAGTGTCCTGGCCCCACCGATGGACCTCCTGATGGCACCTGGTATTTTTTGGCCACTGTGTGATACAGAGTGTTGGACTGGATGGGCCATTGGCCTGATCCAACATTGTCTTATCTTATGTTCTTATGTTCTTATGCACCCCTGAAAGAGCTCACTGGTGGTTTACATATAGCTCCCACCTGGCCTCCTGTCACAATTGCTTTGCGCCCTCAGACCGTTTTCTGGGTTGAGAGGAGAAACAGGATACAGTTTTAATTAGCCATTCACTTACTGGGTAGCTTGAGACAAGCCACATACCTCCTCTGGTTTCTCACAGCTGTTTAAAGAGTTTTTGCATGTTTTCAGGAAAAAAGCACAATTAGGTTGTCTGCAGCACCCAAGTAGCTAGGAGAGAAAGGTGGGGTTGATCATATCTCTGATTGCTCTACAGAAATCTGATTACCCCAGTGGGATCCCGGAATGCGGTACTGATGCACTTCGGTTTGCTCTCTGTGCATACACAGCTCAAGGTAACTCTTACTAATTCCCTGCGAGAGGCAGAGGCACATTCCGTGATCTCTTCTTCTTTCTTCCATTGCTTGTGTTTGACGTCCTCCTTCCTTCCGTCCTCTCCTCAGGCCGGGATATAAACCTGGATGTGAACCGGATCTTGGGCTACCGCCATTTCTGCAACAAGCTGTGGAACGCCACCAAATTTGCCATCCGTGGCCTTGGGGATGGGTTCCAGCCACAGCCCAGCCCACAGGTGAGAACATTCCCTAATCGTTCTTGACCCCATTTTTCTTTCCCCCTCCACAGCCCCTTCCTATTATGATAAGCTTAGCACAGGCTGTGGAAGGTGGACTGTTCTTACTCCCCGGCTTACCTGTGGGCCACAGGCCTGTTGCACCCGTCGACACCACCAGAAAAAAACATTGCAGCAGTAAAACATTGCAGCAGTTGTTACCCTCGAGAAACTAATTGTTCATAAAACTAGTGTTGAACAGGGGTTGTTTCGTAGAAAAAGAGCTAGGGGAGCTCATTAGCATAACTCATTAGCATATGCCACACCCCCTGACATCACTGGAAGTGTGTCATAAGGCCACACACCCTGACATCACCGGAAGTGTGTCATAAGGCCACACACCCC